CAAGGAAAATAGCATGAAAAATGGGTTTCAAGTTTACATTATCGCATACCTTTGACTGCTTATTTTCCGAGTCATCAAGCACGCTTTTCTTTTCTTCTGTTTTCACTATTACAGATGGTTCTGCCAACAAATGTATTAGTCTATTTACACTACTTTAAATAGTTAGAAGAATCAGAGTAAAATGAAAATGCCTAGTACTAATAATAACAATAACATTTATTTTATCAATTAGAAGTTGAATTTAAACATTACCTGCATAATTATTATTTATAATGTGGTACTTTGTACTAAAATCAATGACTTGTGCATACTTTTTTTTGACAGGCAAATTGATTTTAGTATTATTATATAATTATATGGGCTATATCTTATTCTAATAAGGATGCCATTTTTGTGGATGTACACAATGGTGAGATTCACCATGGTGTTTTCACATATATATATGTTTTCACACATATATCACAGGAAAACTATGTCACATTTATTCCACTGCATTCTTAGCACACTCTCAACTGCTGAGAGTACTTTTGATTTTCTTTTGAGATGGCGTCTAATTAAGGTGCCCAGAATAGCCTGACACCAATTGTCCACCTGGTCTCAGCCACCTGAACACCTAGGCTATACAGATGTGTTCTGCTGACTTCTTTAGAAAATACTTCTACTGACCCAAACAAACCACTTGGGGAGAACTGGATGTTGTTAGCTTCAGTGCAAACAAATACCCCAAAAATTCATCTACAAATTCACCCACTGAACATAAAATGATAAATCCTCAGAAAAAAGAAAACAACTTTTCAATACCATAGAAACATAAAAATCCACACATTACATTATTCTTTACTTCCTAATAGTAAGTTTCAATCAGGCCCTGTGCATCTTTAATGGTTTCCAAAGTGCCTGGTACTTTACTCCTTTACAATGAACACTCTGCCCCTTTTGTTTGTCCACACTTCTGACAAATTTCTTTTCTACTCTAAAGATGTGGAGTTCTCTGAGTTGTTCCTTGATTTGGGCTGTTTTTCTCTAAATAAAAATAAATAAATAAAAGTTTCTTTCCTTAGGGCACACTTCAGCGTGTTTCTACACCTTTATGGCTTAAATTGTAAATTATTTCTCAACATGTAAATTTCTTTTACTTGTGAACAGGAGAAAATCTTTTTAGTCATCTTTGTGTACCCAGCCTTTATTTCATTGACCCCATAATTATATTTTGAGTCCCTGGTAAGTGCTAATGTAGTTAAATGGTGTGGGGGATGATTTTGCTTGAATTAGTCCTAAGCTGAGAGTTAAAGCATACTAAGCTGAGAGTTAAAGCATACTAGCCAGAGAGAAATAAAGGAAGAGAACATGAAAGCCATTACAAGAGAGGGTGGCATCTGTTAAGTAGAGTCTGTGTTTGTCAAAAATATTGGAATGGTGAGGAGGAATGGCAGAGGACAGGGAAAAATGAAGAAAAGGATAAAAATAGTTGAACAGAACTCATTCTATCAACATTTTCTAGGTGAGTTTAAGGTGATTGATATGAGTATTCTCAAGAGTGGTGGTTCATAGGTATACATGCATCAAAATAAAATCACTCTAGTGTTGTGGGCAGGATGGAAATGAGGGGTATAAGCATAAATGGAGGGAGATAAATAAGTATAAGACAATAGAGCAAAATAAAGATGACAGGGGCCTAAATGGAGGGAACATCCTCAGGATCACATGGGATCCTACATTTTCAGCCCCCAGGAAGATTATTTTTCACTAAATTATTAAAAGTACAAATCAAAGTCTGTGGACAATGAGACTCTACTCATGACTATTAATATAGAGCTGGGAATGAAATGCCCTTTGACCTGGCCCAGGGTTCCCTTATTATGGTGATATTGTGTTGTGTGCATACCCCGCAAGCCCAGGGAGCAGGCTACATTTGTGTTGTGATCCCCTGGCTCTGAGTGGCTTCTCAGGATGAACCCCATCAGTGGCCAGGCCTAGAAGCCCTTTCATGATGGTGACTCATGGAGTCAGCTCATCCCCAAAGAGGGAGGGACACATGCTCCACTCCAGCAGTCTTCGGCTCCTGGTGGATGAAGGTTTGTGAACACAGGAAGCCAGCCCAGTGCTCCCCAGTTGTGTATATATATCACATTTCCTTAACATTCATCTCTTGAAGGTTACCTTGGTTTATTCCCCATAGCTTGGCTATTATAAATCATGCTGATTTTAGATCTTTTGGATATATTCCAAGGAGTAGGAAAGTTGGATCATATGCCATTCATAGTGTTTTTTGAGAAACCTTCATAGTTTCATGAGAGGCTGTGCTAATTTGCAATTCCAACAACAGTGTTTGAGTGTACCTCCCCCCCCATATTCTTCCCCAAACTTATTATTATTTGTATGCTTGATGATGTTAATTTTAACAGAAGTGAAATGAAATCTCAGTGTAATTTTGACTTGCATCTCCCTTATTGCTAGAGATGTTGACCTTGGGTTCATATATTTGTTGGCCACTTAAATGTCTTCATTTGAGAAGTATATGTTTAGCTCTTTTGCCCATTAGCTGATTGGGTTATTCCTAAAGAAAATGTAGTAACTAAACATAACAGAGTATTAGTAAGCCATAAAGAACAACAAAATTATGGCATTTTCTGGTAAGTGGACGGAACTGGAGACTATCATGCTAGGTGAAATAAACTAGGTTTGAAAAGTCAAAGGTCAAAAGTTTTCTCTGACATGTGAAAGGTAGTCCAAAATAATAGGGGAAAAAAGAGAAAGTGAGAAAGAAAGGAAAAAGGTGTTGGTGGGGGGAGGAGGAGGATTCCATTAAAGTAGAAGAAAGACCCATGGATTAGATGAAGGGGGCTAGAGGTAAAGGAGAAGAGATAGGATAAGGGAAGAAAAGCAGAATGAATCTGACATAAGTTTCTCACGTCCATATATGAATATACCACAGGGAATCTCTCCATTATGTATATTCGCAAGACTCTAATACAAACAAACAAACAAACAAACAAACAAACATAATCAGGTGTGTTAGTGCTTGCCTGTCATCCCAATGGCCCAGGAATAGAAAGTGGAAGAATGGCACTTTTGAAACCAGCCTGAGCAACTTGGTGAGAAGTATAAGCAACCTAGTGAGATCCTGTCTCAAAATAAAAAATAAAAAATGCTGGGAATGTGGCAATCCCTAGTACCACAAATAAATAAATAGACAAGATAAACACAAATACACAAAATAATAGAATAGAGGGGAAAAAGAAGACCAAGTAACAGGGGAAGAAAGTCAAGAAGGAAAAGTCAAATACTGGGATCCACACTAGAGCAACAAATATTCCATAATTTCATAATTGTGTCTAAATGAATCCTAATTTATGAAAAAATAAAAACAGCCAGTTAAAAAAAAGATAAAATACTGGTGGTGAATCTTAGTGGCAAAGAGCTGTTTAGTTTGAAAAATAAATGGGATTCAATCCCCACCATAGAAACAAAACAAAACAAAACAAAACAAAGGAATAGTGACAAAAATGAGAGGAAAAACATCAGTAGTACACATAAGTAACTTTGAATATATCACTTCTGGTCATATTCAATGATGTGAATGATTGTTCTCTATACAATACAATACAATTCTAAAGGTCTGAGAAAATTAATTAGATATATACAATATATTGTTTGCTTTTCTAAGTGCAGTCCTGATCACATGAGTCTTGTGGGCATCACATAAAGTGTGACACAATATACAACATTTTCAGTGCAATTTCTCAATAGGCTGGATGTCATAATGGAAATAAAATGAATTATTTGAAGAGATGAGTTTTCCTATTTCCCAGACAGGCATTGAAATCCTGCCTCAATCTCATAAGAAGCTGGAATTATACTAGGTCTCACTGCCTACCTCACTGCAGTTAAAATATTTCAATATTGGGGAAAAATTATGGCCCAATAATCCACATCTGTGAAACCCTAAAAAGTGTAGTGACTCCAATAGCAGAGCTTAAAACATAGAAATATTTGAGATAATGTTACAACTTAAAAATCTTTCTTATTAATATATACTTTTAATCATGGGTGCCAAGATTGACACTGGCCATGATTGTGCAAAATCATCATTTCAAATGAAGGGAAAAAAGAATTAGGAATAGGAAGAGCATACTAATTCACAAGTTTTACTATAATATAATTCATTTAAGAGAATTTGTACTGTGAAATTTACCAGGTTTGAGTGTCCTTATGGCCTTGATCCCTCCTACTTCACTTGGAAAAGAATCTTTCATGGTAGTGGTAGGCTGGATGCATTTGGATAAGAAAATAAATATTACATTCTTCATACCATGTGCAATCACTAATCCAAGATACAAATAAAAATCAAATTACTTTTACCTTAGGAAATTTCTCTTGAGACACTGAAAAGCAAAAGGGACATATATCATTAACCATTAAAATAGGACAAAAACCACTCATCCATTTCTTCTGAATAAGTATGGAGCTGAATCACTGTGCTTAGCTTTGATAATGATTATTATACTTTTGGGTGTGTCTCCTTTTTATGGTTGGTAAAGTCACATGACCAAAATGTACTGAAGAACATCAGGAATATGTATTTATGTTTCCAAAAATGAGATTATGTTTCCAATGACCAAAATAAATTAGGAATGTGTATTTACAATCCTAAACATGCAGACTGATGGAGAAAAATGTGACCTCTAATCAGAGGACAAAAGCAGGACCTTGACAGGCTAAATGTGAAAGTTGATTTCAGAATGTAACAGTGTGTATCTTTAATATAATTAAAAAATATTTAATCCATCACATTATATTTGTGTGTCATATCCCTCCATTTCTTCTACAAGTTTAATAGTACAAAGCTGTCATAAGGGCCCAGATAATTGTACAATTTGTTGCTCATTAAAAGAAGTTCTCTGCACTGGTCAGCTCAGACATACTTTTAGAATGACAGCTAATGAAAATATTCTTGTTTTTCCATACCTATGGGAGAAATAGGTACACTGATAATTCTTATTTCCTCTGGTTTAGCCATGTTATCATTTCTTGATCCACTCATGAGAGAAGACATAGGAAGCTAAGGAGAGCAACTAAGAACAGAATAAGGAGGAAGAGCATGAG